AGGAGGGTTCCCCTTTCTCCGCATCCCCGCCAACATCTGTCGTTTCCTGACTTGTTAATTTTAGCCATTCTGACTGGTGTGAGGTGGTATCTCAGCTTCAGGTTTGCTCTTGAAGAGCCTGCACAGTGAAGGGAATGGGGGAAGAAGGGAGAAAAAAATATAGAAAAGAGCTAACCACTGAAAGGAGAATGAAATTCACAATTTACAGTATTCAGGAGATTGGAAAAAACCAAATATCAAGAATATGGGGGATAGTGATTAAGAATGCCATTGATAGAGAAGGAAAATCAAGGGTTGAAAGAAGCAGTGGCTGAGATGTTGACCATTCTCTGTGTTAAAATTCCAGTTCTGCCACTGACTTGCTGTGCAATATTAAGCAAGTTGCTTAATTTCTCTATGCCTCAGTTTCCCCATGTGTAAAATGAGAATAAAATAGTATTTACCTCATAGAGTACAGGTTTAATAAAATCATGCATGTAGAGTGTTTTGTACTATTTGTCATGTAGCAAGGGGTCCACAAATGTTACTTATTTTATTATTACTACTACTACTACTATTACTACCACCGTTACAGGTCATTGTATATGATGAGGACTGTCTATTGATAACCTTGGAAGCAAAATTTGAATAAATTACTTTATAAGCAAACTATATTTAATTAAACTAACTATACAAGATGGAGCAAATGGTTAATAGATTATGAAATATGAAATATATATTTTTAAAATTTTGAATATTCATTTTATTTCTTTTCCTTGTCATTACTTCATTGGCTAAGACTTAAAAAGCAATGTTGAATAAGAGCTTTTGATAGTAGTCATCCTTGGCTTGTTCCTAAACTTCAGTGAGATTATTTTAGAGATGCACCAAGTATGACTTTCACTGTAGGTTAATACTAGATGAACTTTATTGGGTTATTCTTTTTATTTCCAGTATGCTAAGAGATTTTGGTTATGAATGGGTATCAAATTCTCTCAAATGCACTTTCTGCATCTTTTGAGGTGATCACATTTTTAAAATTTTGTAAACAGTAATAGGCATTTTATTTAATTCTTCTAACAACTTTGCAAAAATAGCTTCTATGTCAATCTTAGAAATCCATGACTCAGACAAGTCAAGAAACTTGCCCATATGAGAGAGTTAGTAACTTGGAGCACAGAAATATAAACTATGTCTGCTTTGACCCATACCCTGTAGCAGGAATAACTAAGCAACACAAATACACATCACAGAGAATGGATAAATACATTGTGGTATATTCATACAAGGGACTATTACGTAGCAATGAAAAATAAATAAGCCGCAGCTGTACCCAATAATATCATTGAATCTAAGTAGTATAATATTCAGACATAAAATTGAGTAATCCCTAATTACTTAAATTTTATTACCCTTTTATAAATTTCAGATCATTTCAAACTTAACAATATTCTTCTTGGAATACCTATAGTAAATATATATCAAATATAAACATGTATTGATGAAAGAAAGGGAATGATTAATCCAAGATTCAAGGGACTGGTTACCTTAGGCAGAAAGTGTCAGGGTGAGCTGATGTATACATAGATATGAATTATAATCAGTGTTCTAGTTTCTGTGTTAAAATCAAGTTAATGGGTGTTTATAATAGTATTCAAAACTAAGGGAGCAAGCAAGCTGGTGATGCTTGGACTGATGAATAGGGTGTAGCATGAGTGAGGGATTATGATTAATCTAGTCCTGGGCTCCTGAGGCTGGAGAAATGTAGGCAGTTATGAGCCCTCCACCTTTGTCTATTATAGTCTTGCTGAAGAATTCTCCCTTCTATTCCAGAGTCCTGTCTAAACTTTGTCCCTGGTTGTAGATTTCTAGAGTCAGTCCCAAATGAAAGAACTTCCATTAGAAACTTAATGTAGAATTTAATACAGCAAGACAGAGAAATACGAATGGTAACTGGAAACAGGGAACATGCCTGGAGTTAGGGGAAGACAATTTAGAGAAATGTCTAGGCTCATTGGCTCATTATAGGTCTGATAGTTAACATTTCACATGTATTTTGACATCTTCCTCTCTTCCACAAGATTTTAGAAAATTGTTTTGGAAATAAACCTCTGGTTCTCCCAGTTCTAAGATAGATAATACCTAATTCTGGATTCTCCATGAGTGTCCCAGTGTTGTGTGTGTACAGGGATTGAATTAACTGAGGTGGATGTTATTTTGAGCTAGAATGGTATACTTAGTCTTATGAAGGAATAAATAATGAAAATATAAGAAAATTAAAGCTTCTATGTTTTTGTTTCTATTCTTACCTTTACTGTTTATATATTTTAGTAAGAAAAGTTCCACAATATAGAAAAATGTGTGGAAACCAAGACAATACATATAGTCAGCATCCAACTTTAAAAAATACTTAAGATTCACCTTTTTTGGTTTCAATTCTTTTTTTTTCCAGTTCTTATTTTTTAAAAACTGGATGGCTACAGATACAGTTAAAACCCTAACTACTGGGTGCTTGGGTGGTTCAGTTGGTTAAACGTCTGCCTTCAGCTCAGGTCATGATCCCAGGGTCTTGGGATCAAGCCTGCATCAAGCTCACTGCGTAGCGGGGAGTCTGCTTCTCCCTCTGCCCCTATCCCCACTCGTGCTCTCTCTCTCTCTGTCTCTCTCTCTCTCTCAAATAAATAAATAAAATCTTAAAAAAAAACCCAGACTACTTCTCTCTCCTATCCTCTATCCTTTCCTCCTTCCCCAAAGGTAACCACTATTTCAAATAAAGCATTCATTATCCTATGCATGGTTTTAGTATATATATATGTATATATATGTATACACACACACATACACTATACAGTATAGTAGCTATACATACACTATACTATACATATACTATATATGGGGTTATATGTATATATTATACATATACTATATATATGTATATACTATACATATACTGTATATATACTATACATATATATGTATATATACTACACAATATTTTTACGTGCTTTAAATCTTCATATATGCCATATTTTCCTGTCATTCTGAACTGGTATTTTTAAAGTTAATATTATGTTTTGGAGACTTATATTTATTGATGCATGTGGCTCTGCTTTCTACTAATGTATACTATGAGTAAACCACAAGTTACAATAGGTATATGCAGTTGTGGTAGTACATTTGACTGAATAACCTCTCCTTCAAACACTGAGAAGGTCATCTCTATCATATATCGCAGTTTCTAGACATTGTGAGTTTGCTTTGGGGCTGCCATTTTCTGTATTCCACAGGCTCACTTAACCACAGAGTGAGTCTCAAGAAGCTTGAGAACCAATCTCATACAGATTTCATTGTCAGGACATGATGTTTTTAAATTGGAACTCAAAATGAAAAGATAGTTTAAGAAAACATGTAACAAAATTACAACTCTAAGTATTATGTCAAGAAAATTTGAGTAAGGGAGCATGTGCATGGAGGACAATTGGCGAAGGCTGCCTCTACAGAACCCATTGGGATAAAGAGGTATGAGGCCTTCTAGAGTCTATTGTTGCTGAGAAGTCTTCTGTCAGAAAGTCTAATCTTTCCTTTGTAGGTAATCTTTCCTTTCTCTCTGCTTGGTTTTAATATTTTATCTTTGTATGTAAGTGATGAATCACTAAATCCTACACTTTGATATTACACTGTAGGTTAACTAACTGGAATTTAAATAAAACTTGGAAAAAAGAAAATAAAATAATCAGTAAGGTAAAAAAATATTTTATCTTTTTATTTGCTCTATAGCAATTTCTCTAATGTAGTGTCTATGCAAGGATTTTAAAAAATTTATCTTGTTTGGGAGTCATTGTGATTCTTCAATCTGAGGCCTCATTTCTTTAATTAAGTCTGGAAAATTCTCAGTCTGTTTCTTCAATATTTCCTTTCCTCTATTTTCTCATTGATTTTTTTCTTGGATTTATTCCGTGTATAGTGGATCTCCTTATTTTTTTTTCCCCCAAAAGTCTTGACTCCTCTCCCCACATCTTGGTCACTTTGTACTCTCTTCTGGGTATTTTTCTCAGAACTTGCCACTCTCTTCAGTCATTGTCCAAGCCATCCACTGAGTTTTTATTTTGAATGTGAATATTGTATTTTCTAGTAATTCATTTTTGGTCTTTTCCAAATCTGTTGTATTTTACTTTTATAAAATCTTATTTCTTACAGTCTTTATTCCTTCTTTTAGATACAAAGTATTTTAAACATAAATTATAATTCCTAACAGATTATTTAATTTTATGATATTTAGGGGAGGTAATTCTATCACTTGTTGATTGCTGATTATCTTCATAATAAATAGGTTCTGTGTTTGTTTAGTAATTTTGAATTGTGAGCTCATCTTTTTGGTTGGTTTTTATTTGTGGGATTCCTATACAGTCTGGAGTCTGCAACTCCTTGTGGAGAAGTTTTATATTTGCTTCTAAAAGGTATCCCAAGGGTTTTACCAGTCTGGGAATGATTTTTATGTTAGTTTTTCAGTTTGAGGGTCTAGGATCATATGTGTCTTGTAATTAAGCTTATCCATTCCATGTGCTGTACAGACCGATAACTGCATTCCCATGGGAGACATTTCCTCTCCAGGAAGTACAGGATGAGAGATACGAGTTTTCTTTGGGTGTCCTGTAGACACTGGTATATATACATTTTCCTGTTTGTGTATATTCTTTCATTGAAGGCTTACCCTTTAGAATGTCCTGAATTAATGTGGTGGTGTCTACCTTTTGCCTCACACAGGCCTCCACTCTCACGTCCTGTTCCACCATCGGGGTTATTTGTCTAGCTTCCGGACAATGAAGACTAATGGTATACCCCTCCCACCTACCTGTTACCACCACCACTATGCCATTGTGGACAGTTTATTGTATTTTATTTTTTGTTATGTTCAGTTAGCCAGCATATAGTACACCATTAGTTTTTGATGTAGTGTTCAACGATTCATTAGTTGTGTATAACACCCAGTGCTCATCACAACACATGCCCTCCTTGTGGACAGTTTAGAGATTAGTTTTTCATATCCCTCCTTGATTATCAACCCTTGTATTTCCTTTACATTCTTAAACACTCAGTTATGAATTTAAAAGGATGATTGTTATATTTTCTCAAAATTTATACCTATGTTAAGTGGGAAGGTGCTTAGTACCTCATATTTCAGCAAGGTGAAGCTTTCAAAATAACATGTGAAGATCTACAGAAATGTGAGAGCTTACCATGTTCAGAAAACTAAAAAAGAACTGTCTAGTTTTAAACATACTGGGTAGATGTCTCAGCACGAACTTGGTAAGATAGGTTAGTTATTGACAACAAAAGTTCTTTAAAAGCCAGATGAAGCTATTTGGATTCTATTCTGAAGGCCCTGACTCATTAAATAGGGAATCACATGTTGAAAGTTTTCTTCTGGCATCGGTATGGAAGATCTATCAGGGGAGTAAGTAGAGAAACTAGTCATGAGGCTATGAAGTTAGCACTGGTAGGAGATGCTGAAGCTTAAACAGTGTGAGTGGATTAAGGACAAAGGATGAACATAAGGATAAATGTGGAAGTCAAGGAGTGATTGAATATGAGGAGATGAGAGAGAGAGTCCTCCAGCTTTTGCTTTGGACAACCAGATGGATGATTATGGTGATGCCATTAACCAACAAAATGGAATCAAGAGTAAAAACAAGTTACTTTATGACAACCTGAAGCAATTTCACTATAAAAATCAACTATTTATAATAAACCATTTCTTTATATGTTACATATTAAATGATACATTATGTTCCTTACAGGTTCGGAGAGAAGAAATCACGAGGATTACAGTGGGATGAAGTGTGAATTGAAGATGAAGAGTTAGAGCCAGTGAGTATAGGAATTTTTTCATGAAGTTTGCCATTGGAAGGAGATAAGCAGCAGTAGGATGAAAAGACACTATTGAATGAAGTGTTTATAACTGGCTGAAGGACTTTGTCAAGGTTTATAGATTATAGAAAATGAGCCACTAGAGTGGATGAAAAGGAAGTAGGAAAAAATGCTTTAATAAGTTACAGGAGTGAAGTCATAGACCTAGCAGAAGGGCCATGTGGTCAGTTGAATTTAAGTCATTAAGGAGCTTGAATAACATAAATAAATCAACTAGAGCTATTATGATCCCCAGCCTACTACCTATGACTTGCTCTTTGATTCAAACTCTCTTTCAGGCAGGCTCATTGTCACTCATCATGGGCTGCACACCTAATGCTTCACATTCTCCAGTCTTCTTGCTCCTTGGGTTCTCAAAAGCTAGAGTCTCCCCAGGTCTCCTTTTCTTCCTGTTCCTGGCTATTTACCTGGTCACCATAATAGGGAACATGACTCTAATGCTGCTTATCTCCAGGGACTCCAGGCTCCACTCACCTATGTATTATCTGCTCCGTGGTCTCTCCATGATAGACATGGGGCTGTCCACAGTCACCCTGCCCCAGTTGTTGGCCCATCTGGTCTCTAATTACCCAGCCATTTCTGCTGCCCGCTGCTTGGCCCAGTTCTTTTTCTTCTATGCATTTGGAGTTACGGATACACTTGTTATTTCTGTCATGGCTCTAGATCGTTACGTGGCCATCTGTAATCCCCTACACTACCATTCAGTGATGAATCGCCAACTCTGTGCCTTCTTACTGGCCTTGAGCTGGGTGGTGTCTATAGTGCACACCATGCTGCATGTGGGACTTCTCTTGCCTCTTTACTGGGCTGGGGATGCTGAGGGCAATGTTAAACTTCGCCATTTCTTTTGTGACCACCGACCACTTCTGCGAGCCTCTTGCTCTGACATACGTTCCAATGAGCTGGCCATATTCTTGGAGGGTGGCTTCCTCATGCTAGGTCCCTGTGCCCTCATTGTACTCTCCTATGCTCGCATTGGGGCCACCATCCTACGTTTGCCTTCAGCTGCTGGTCGCCACCGTGCAGTCTCCACCTGTGGATCCCACCTCACCATGGTTGGCTTCCTCTATGGCACCATCATTTGGGTCTACTTCCAGCCTCCTTCCCAGAACTCTCAGGAAAAGGACATGGTGGCTGCTGTGACGTACACTGCCATTACCCCTTTGGCCAACCCTTTTGTGTACAGCCTCCGCAACAAGGATGTCAAGAGTGCACTTCACAGGCTGCTTGGACGGGGGAGGGCGGACTCCTGATAAGCCTGCTGAAGAGCCATTTTGGTTAGTTAAGGAAAGCAGTGGGAAGGTTTGAGCATGGCTGGTTTTGGAAAGACGAGGAAAGGATGGCCTGGCTAACTTATGGAACTCCAGATTCAGCTCGTGATGTGGTGATCTGACAGAGCGGTGAACACATGCCACACGTGCTCAGGGCTCCTCATCAGCCTGCCTCGGGAACCCCTTCCCCAGACCGTTTATCTTCAGCTATCAAAGTGGATAATAATGAGTCACTAGGCCACAGTTTTGAAGAAATATGAGAATATTACTGTGAAATCTGAACTGAAGCAGAGACAGTGAATTTAATTAGGTCACGTCTAATTTGATGTGCTTGCTTGTGGGAAGTGTGCTGGTGTATATCAGAAAGTTAGGGGAAGGGAACAGTTTAGGTAAATAGGAATGGCAATTTTACACCTGTTCCACTCAGCGAATATTGGCCCAAAAGTGAGCGTGAAAGGGGCCATGATTCTGCTATTCCACATCTTAGCCTCAGTTTCTATGGGCTTGTCATAGTGTGAGCATCTTATTCTGATGTGTGTAAATTCTATTTCATATATTTTAAATTAATTTTATTTACATTTTCCATAAGATATACAAAGAAAATGCAAAGCTAAGTACTCTGCTGCATAAGGAACTATAAAACAAGGAACAGTGAACTATTTCAACAATGAAGAAAACAAATTGGCTGTGCTTATTAGCTTCTTGGGAGCTGGACATTGACTTCTATTTTGCTAGCTCTTATGAGATTTACAGTGATAATTAAAAATACTTCTTGAGCTCCTTTTTTATTGAAGTATAATTGACACACAGTGTTACATTAGTTTGAGGTGTACAACGTAGTGGTTTGATAACTATATGTTATGCTGTGCTCACACAAGTGTAGCTACCGGGCGCCTGGGTGGCTCAGTCGTTAAGCGTCTGCCTTTGGCTCAGGTCATGATCCCAGGGTCCTGGGATCGAGTCCCGCATCGGGCTCCCTGCTTGGCAGGAAGGCTGCTTCTCCCTCTCCCACTCCCCCTGCTTGTGTTCCTGCTCTCGCTATCTCTTTCTCTGTCAAATAAATAAATAAAATCTTTAAAAAAAAAAAGTGTAGCTACCATCTGTCACCGTACAACACTGATAGTACCATTAACTTTTTTTTTACTAAGATATAAGTGAAATATAATATTGCAGGTTTAAGGTGTACAATATGTTGATTTGATACATTTATGTGTTGCAATATTACAGTAGTTCCCCTTACCCTTGGGGGTTATGTTCCAAAATCCCCAGTGGCTGCATGAAACAGCAGATAGTACTAAACCCTATATATACTATGTTTTTCCTATACATATGTAACTATGATAAAGTTTAATTTATAAATTAGGCAGAGTAAGAGATTAACAGTAATAAACAATAACAAAACAGAGAACAATTATAACAATATGCTGTAATAAAAGTTATGTGAATATAGTCTGTCTCTCTGAAAATATCTTTTGTACAGTACTCACCCTTCTTGTGATGATGTGAGGTGATGAAATGCTTATGTGGTGAGATGAAGTGAGGTCAATGATGTAGACATTGTGATACAGGATTAGGCTGCTGTTGACCTTCTGATAATACATCAGGAGGAGGATCATCTGCTTCTGGAATGCAGTTGACCACAGGTAGCTGAAACTGCAGAAAAGAAAACCACAGATAAGAGGAGACTGCTGTACCACCAAAGTGTGAGCTAACACTTCTACCAAGTCATGTAATTTTCATCTTTTTTGTGGTGGGAAAAATGAAGATCTAGTCTCTTAGCAATTTTGAAGTTTACAATACAGTATTGTATTTTGTATTATATTATATATATAATAGATATATATTATTTATATATATATAAATCTCACATCTTTTTAATCCATTTTTTCTGTTGACGGACACTTAGGTTGTTTCCATATCTTGGCTATTGTGAATAATGCTATAAGCTTTTGCTGTGCAGAAGCTTTTTAGTTTGATATAGTCTCACTTGATTATGCTTTTGTTGTTTGTGTTTTTGGTGTCATAGCCAGAAAATCATTGCCCAGACCAATGTGAAAGAACTTCTTCCCCATTTTCTTCCAGACGTTTTACATTATCAGGCCTTATGTTTCTGTCTTTAATCCATTTTGAACTAATTTTTGTGTATGGTATAAGATAGGGGTTCAGTTTCATTTTTCTCTTTGTGGCTGTCCAGTTTCACCAACACCATTTGTTGAGGAGATTCTTCTTTCTTCATTGAGCATTCTTCATTTCCTTGTCAAAAGTCAATTGACAAAGTTAAATGGGTTTATTTCTGGACTCTCAGTTATATTGCATTGATCTATATATCTCTCCTTTTGCAAGTACCACATTCTTTTGACTCCTGTAGCTTTTCTTAAACGGTTTTCTTTTTTTAAAATTTATTATTATTTTTTATTTTTTTATTATTATGTTCAATTAGCCGGCATATTGTACATAATTAGTTTTTGATGTAGTGTTCAACGATTCATTAGTTGCCTATAACACCCAGTGCTGATCACCACACGTGCCCTCCTTAATACCCATCACCTGGTTACCCCATCCTCCCACACCCCTTCTTTCTGTAACCCTCAGTTTTTTTCATGGAGTCCAGAGTCTCTCATGTAAATGATTCTTTTAATTTCAGGTGTAGAACTTAGGGAGTCATCATTTACGACACCTAGTCGTAATCACAAGTGCCTATCACAAGTGCCCTCCTTAATACTCATGAAAAAGAAAAAATAAATAGATTTAAGTTTCATACTAAAACAAATTATTTTAGGGCACCTGGGTGGCTCAGATGGTTAAACGTCTGCCTTTGGCTCAGGTCATGATCCCAGGATCCTGGGATCGAGCCCCGCATCAGGCTCCCTGCTCAGCAGGGAACCTGCTTCTCTCCCTCTCCCTCTACTGCTCCCCCTGCTCGTGCTCTCTCGCTCTGTCAAGTGAATAAATAAAATCTTTAAAAAGAAACAAATTATTTTAATACTATCAAATGGCCAGTCAGTGTTGAAATTTCCAGTTGTTTCATAAATATAATAAAATGTTTTTATAGTTTTTAAGAATTAGAACCCAAATAAGGTTTACATATTGTGACTGGTTATTTGGTCTTTTCAGTCTCTTTCTTCTCTCTTTCTTTCCTCCCTTCCCTTTTTTCTTCCTCTTTCCCCTGCTGTCTTCTATCTCTGGCAATTTACTTGTAGACGATATCATGTAATTTTCCTGTGGAATTCCCTATAGTCTGGATTTGTGTGAGTTCATCATTATATTGCAGTTTAATGTGTTCCTCTGTGCTCTGTATTTTCCATAAGTTGGAAGTTGGATGTAGAAGCTTTATCAGATTCATGTTTGATTTTTGGAAAGGAGAGATTACTCCATAGGTGGTGTGGGAGATGTAATGTCTGGTTAGGTCACTTTTTGGTGAAATTAGCAGCTGTTGCTATTCAATGTCTAGATCTACTCATTAGAGCAATAATTAAAGCAGAGGTATATGTGTATGGAAGGGGTAAGAAATCAGGTGGAAGGAGGAAAGAACAGTCTAAAATCCAGACTGTCTGCTCAGAATGAGACTGATAGAAATGAATCACATCCATTTAACAATGCCATCAGCCTGTATCCACTGGGGAAATAAGTCACTTTCCCAAAGTAAGGAGGGCTTTTAGAAAGTCAAATAGATCCTCTGCAAACAAAAATAAATGTATTACATTTTTTGAGGAAATTAATATTATTTTGATTGAGTAAAATCTCTTTGTTTCCACTGAATTCTGATCATATTTGTCAGTTAATAATTTGGTTTTTCTAGTTTGTAACTAAGCTTCTTCTGTGCAGGTTAATGGTGGACAGTACTGGTATGTATCCAATTTATAGTCATTTCCACAATATCTAATCTATATCAATAAGCCATATGTCGTTATTATTTTATAGTAGGACAAAGAATATCCATTGGCATATAATGTCAGATTTTTCAGGGTGGTGCTCCACTTCCTGCTGCTGCTTTTATACTCAAAGGCTTGTTCAAATCAGGTATTCTGTGGATGATAGTTCTAAAATAGATAAGCAAAATGGGTAGATGAAATTCAGCAAAGGATGCAATTGGATGAGGACAGGAAATGCGGAAGTCATTGGAGAGGAGAATAGAAACGTAGCATTGGTCAGAGTTGTCCCACTGGTATTTCATAAAGCCTCATGCCTTGCAGCTAATTCAGCTGGGTTAAGCTGTTTGGATTAGTAACAAACACTCAATAACAGGAAGGATAGGTTGGGAAAACTGGCTTCTTGAAATGATGAAATAGGAATCAATTTCCTCTTGGGATTTTTTCTTGCTCAACTATTGACATTATGCAAGGAAGGCTATGGTGTCCCTCAAAGGGTAGACCTTCCCTATAGACACAATTGTTTTCAGAAGCTCTATGGTGAGATCTAGGTATAAGGAAGGAGAAGGAGCAGACTCTGGAGCTATAGTCCCAGCTGATGGAGGAAGGTAGATGGGCTCAGCCCCTTGAATTAATATTTCATCTGAACACAGTTGGAGGCTCTTGGGGTTGGTAGAATGAGTCCGTGTAAGTGATGCTGCTTCTTTGGGATGAGCTACCATATAGGAAGGCTTTTACAGAAAATGATGAAAAGGGAATGCTTAATTTTGTAAGAACGTGGTGAAGGAGCACAGCTCTATTCATACTTTCTATCTTGAGTGTATGGTGTTAGATACAGAGAAAAGGTGAGAATAAGGTTATACTCTGCCCTCATAGTAAACAGAAAGGGCACAGAAAATAATCATTATCCTCTTTTAGAAAATGGTGTGATATTGGTGCCAAGAAGATCAAAGGATAGAATGAAGTACAAATATTATAGTCAAGGGAAGCAATGGGATAGAAGCATTGTCAGTTATAACACAGAAAAAAATAGGATTTTAAGTGAAAATATGAAGGCTTAGATGGAGAATATAGTCATGAAATCAGAGAGGGAATGGAAAGACATTTCACAGT